GTGTGTGTGTGTGTGTGTGTGTGTGTGTGTGTGTGTGTGTGTGTCACATGCATCTTCGTATTAGGCCACATATGTCTGCTATGTCCTGTGACTTGGTTTCTTTGTGTACAAACTAATACACTATCAGAATTTTATATATTTATACTTCTCATTCAACCACAGTTAAATTCACCCTATCTAGAAGTCACAGTTTATATGGACAGTATTTATTTTTTACAACAACAAGCTGAATGAAAAGAAGCAAAAATGAAACAAAAGTAACAACTTTCTACTTCTTGCCGTTTTTTTTAAATGTAGAGTAAAAAGTACAGATAACTGTGTGAAAATGTAAGAAGTAGAAGTAAAAAGTAGGCTGAAACATAATTACACAAGTAAAGCACAAGTACCCAAAAATTCTACTTAAGTACAGTAAAGAAGTATTTGTATTTAGTTACTTTACAACTCTGAAGGACACATAGCAATAACATAGACCAACAACATCTGCACAAAGACCAACAACATCTGCACATATTACTTCTACTTTTTTTTTTGACACAAATGGAACCCCATACTCTGGTTCCACTCAACAGAATTGAGTGAAGACAACAAATGTACTTTATTTACATTTACTATACTGTAAGAATATTTAGTGTTTGTTAACTGAAATCGTGACCAAACCACATGAATGTTGAATATTTAAAAATGTGAAGAGAATGACCACACATTATACAACAACAGTAGTGGATTCTGAGCACAGCTTTACTGCTCACGGCTGAAGCGAGCAGGCAGCGCTACCGGAAACCGGAAGTGGCCCCCTTAACGTGTCTTCAGTGCCTGGCACGCCCCCTACAGGCCTACGGCTGAATCACAGGCAGTCAATCAGAAACATCTTTCCTTATGATTTATTAAAGGTTTTTCTATGTGTTGTGATGGTGTTTCAGGCATGTTACTAAAACTATTTTAATCAAGACATAACAACTGTCAAACAATAGATTATAAAACCAACCCTTAAAAAGGAAAACTATGAAATGGTGCTTTTAAAATCAGGATCTAACATTACAACAAAATTCACTTATTCACTTTATTCTGTCAACTTGTTCCACTCATCAGAACTGAGTGAAGATAGTTTACTTTTAGTAAATGTAAAATAAAAGTAACACATTTACTTTACATTTACTTAAAATATTATATCAACTGCTTCCACTCAACATAATTGAGTGAAGACAACAAATTTACTTTATATTTGCTATACATTCACTTTTATTTGCATTAATTATTATGTCCAATGGCACTCAACCAAATTGATTAAAAGCACCAAATTTACCTTTTTAAATGTAAAGGTAACACATTTACTTTACATGTAGTATTATGTCAACTGGTTCCACTCAACATAATTGAGTGAAGACAACAAATTTACTTTATATTTGCTATACATTCACTTTTATTTACATTAATTATTATGTCCAATGGCACTCAACCAAATTGATTAAAAGCACCAAATTTACTTTTTTAAATGTAAAGGTAACACATTAACTTTACATGTAGTATTATGTCAACTGGTTCCACTCATTAGAAATGAGTAAAGGTAATTTATTTTTAATAAATGTTAAATAAAGGTACACATTTATGTGAGGTAAATATGTGTAAAGCTCAGATCTGCTGAGTGAAACAGTTGACATAATTTTAAGCAAATAGCTACATCTGTTTTTAGTTTAAGCTGGTTGAGTAAATTCAACACTTCATTTTTATGGAGCGCAGAAACAACTCCTATGAAACTCATGATGAGTTTCATTCAGATTTAAATTTGTAGAGTATAATGAGGTGGCACATTTCAAAGTAAAGTAAAACATTTTTTGGTTTATTATAAGCTAAAAGTTAAAATTATGATGTCAAGCAAATACTTGGTAAAATAACAATTTGTAAAAAATTAATTAC